TTTTAGTCATTTTAATATTGAAAGATATTTTATAAAAAAATTTACTAAACACTATCAGTTTCTTAAAAATAGCACTTCTAAGGCAGATTTTTTCTAACAGGATTTCTATTAAAGGCTTCAACCATACCAAATATACTTGTAATCTCTTAGCTACATAACACTTTGATTCAGGATTTTAATTTTTAAAATAAATTAAAATCTCAAACTTATATTACATCTTTTTATTTAATTAAAATTTAATTTAAAATTTAAAAATTTATCTTATTAAATATTGATATTTAGATTTGCATCTGTCCCTTCGAACCAACTGACAGTCTGCCAACTTGAGTTGCATTCCCCCTCCCGAAAGCCCGTCCCCTTGACAACTTATTCAAAAATATATATATTGATATATTGATATTTAGATTTAAAAACTAATTATATTAAAATATATAATTAGTTTTCAAATTTAAGTAACAATATTTGTATTTTTAAATTTTAAATTAAGATTTTAATTTCTAAACATAATTTAAAATTTTAATTTTTTATAAAAAAATTAAAATTAATATACATTAATGTCATATGATTAATTGACATTTTCAACTTCTCGTTGATTTTGATTAGTTGCGAGGTACCGCCCCAAAGCCCAGAACGGTATAGTAATCCCCCATTGCCATCCAGTCTTATTGTTATTCTCTCAAACATGGCTTCAACCTTCAACGGGTTCCGAAGTCCAAACGTAATGGGCTTTTCATTTGTTAGATGGCAGGCGCCGTGGTCAAGCCCATCTTATGTGGACCCAACTGATTTGATTTGGAAAATCCCTCTTATTGAAAAATCTCACATCACAAAGATCTTTTTTTTGAAAAAAAGTGAGTTAAATATAAAATATTTTATTTTATTTTATTAATTAATTTTAAATTAAATTTAAATTTTATGTTAAAATTTATATACTTAATTTTTTTTTGAACGGATTTTACAAGAGGCTGGGTTCGAACCCCAACCCTGGGAGAGAGAGAATGCACTACGGTGGCTATTGCCACTTGACCCGAAGGGCTAGGTGCTTATATACTTAATTTTCACATATTAGTAAAATAATAATAATAATAATAATTTTGAGAATTATTAAAAAGAAAAATTGCAGAAGGAAACAGGTGCAGGTGCAGGACTGGAGTTGCTATCAACTCCCGACCACCAAGCTCGATGTGCCGCTTTCTCTGTTCCCTTCTTGGCCTGTGCTTTAATTTTTTGTCTATTATATTACTCTGTTTTGCTTTCTTTTGATGTATATTTTTTTGTTGCTTTCTTTCTCAATAATGCAGATATATATATCCATGCCAACTAACGCTAACAGTTTGATATTAGACTTTTTAAAATTAGCAATTTCACATTCAAACTTTATAATAAATACGTAGTACGGGAACGCTAACTATCTTCAATGATGTAACCCTTCTCATGTTATCTATAATTATTAATTAATGGTTGTTTTAGTTAGTTTAGTATCTGAATTATATTTTTTTATATAATTTGTATTAAAAGGGACCTCTAATTTTCTTCCACTAATTAGTTAAATACTGTTAGATAATCTTTTGAACAGGCAAAAAAAGGAAAAACCCCGAAGAGAGATCGATGTTCTGATTCTTTATGTCCATACTATGTTCTAACTTATGCAGCCAAAATGAATATTCTATTCTTAATCGCTAAACAAATCTTACACGGTACTTTGCTTCATCTTGAATCAAAGTTAGGATCAAACTAATCTTTTTTTTTCGTTCAAAAACAACTTTAATTTAAACTAATATGTGCACAAATATAGATCAAGGGTTTTGTCTCTGCAGTGTTTACTCCTCATATAAGCCATATAGTCAGCATCACAATTTACGAGCTATAGAGTTATACTGCAAACGTTGATCGGTACATAATCACATGATTAAATACGAATAAACAGAGTCGAGTTAGTTTTTTAAAAAATATGATTAACTTTTTAAATAATTTAATTTTAATTTTTTTATAATGAAAGTAAGAGAGATTTTAAATTCAAATTATATGATATGCATGAAATAAGTTAAAAGACAAAAAAAGTTGTTTTTCCATTATATAATTCAATATCAAAATTATTCTTTTAAAAATATGAGATCAATATAAAATAGAATCTAAAAAGTAGATGTGTGACCACTAATTATTATCTTAATTAATTATTGCAAAATCAAGCAGACATGGAAGCGAAATGAACAAATAAAGAAGGGGACAAGAGGCACATATCTGCATGGAATTAATATTGGAGTATACCAAGAATCAGAAGCCGCTTGGAATCCCTACCACTTTATTTTTCTATTTCTGGGTTGTGCTTGATACAGTGACTATGTTATTAATTATAAATCTAAATTAACCACTGTTAATATAATCGATATAACAACGTTAAACCTTAATTATTAAGTATTATATGTAAGGGTTGCTGTCATGAATTTCAACTAATGTTAGTAATTTATGTTATATGTTTGTGTATTGTGACATATTTTGTCCGATTGTCGGCCTATCAAAGCACCGAGAATATGGTGGGGTGTTCACCTTGGATCCTCTCTTTTCTCTTATTCCTATCAATACTTTCTCGAAATTTTATAATTAAAAATTTCATTTCGTATAGTTAATGCCCCTAATCTTGCCTTCTATTCCTCCTGGATCACCCTTCTACCTAAGTTCCTCTACTAATGCTTTCCCCATTCACATATATTTATTATTTGATGTACAAGAATAAGTGGTTGAAATTTGTAAGAGAAGGGACATGAAAAAAAAGGTGCAAGTTTGAACTCCTGCTATAAGGGTATAAAAGCTTTTTGTACTAGCAATAAAGTTATTTTAACTATTAAGGTTCCACCTCTTTATGCACCTAGGCTTAGAGGTCCACTGGATTAGTCAGCTTGTTAGGTGCATTCCCCCCTCCTTTGGGCGGATTTTGAATCCGTCCCGTATCAAAATGTTCAAAAAAAAAAAAAAAAAAAGAAGAAGAAGAAGAAGAAGGTTCCACCTCTTTATATATATATATATTATAAGTATATAGTATCTGAAACAATTGAAACAGTTTGTGCACACCAAATTGGGTTTAATTGAATGATTAGGGAGAGTTAATATACAGGTACGGAAATTATTCCTTGTGAAACTAGTAGAGATGACAAGTGGTAGACCAAACTCAATTATTCAATTATGGATTAGTTACCGGCTTTAAGGGCTAAAATTTTGAATTTTAAATAGAATAATTAATGGGATCTTTGGAAGGATCTTCAGGCAATCAAGTGGGCCAGCAAATTTTCATGCAAAATCTTGTTGTAATCTCAGTGATAACTTGAGTCTAAGGTTAATCTTTCAATGTCTTTAATTAATAATATTCCCTTTGCAGATGATGAACTTGAGTCTAAGATTAATCTTTCAATGTCTTTAATTAATAATATTCCCCATGCAGATGATGAACAAAAGAAAGATACATGACAAAATCTGCAAGTATCAAAAGAAGTGTTAAAAAGATGGCAATGAGTAAGTTAAAAAAAACTTTGGCCCACAGTCTCTCCTAAGTGGGATTATCAAAAGTGATAATTAGTCTATTATTGATTTGCTAAATCTAGGGTTTACAGTTCTGAGCTCTGAAATCAAATCAAATCAATCTTGTAGATTAAGCTTGATTTCCCAAATCCAGGGTCTCTGTCTTTGAATTTTGAGGTTCCTATTCTTCTTTGTTTTTACTTTTCTCTTAGACTCAAATCTCTGCCTCATACAATTTTTGGGTTTTCTTATCTGTTATGAATATCAGCATTGCTTGATTTGCGTTCTTAATATATGACCTTAATTGTCTTTTAAGCCCTCGAGAGTCCTTCTTGATCAACCCATGATAATTTTATGTTGGGAGGTTTTTTTTTTTTATATGTAATTGTTGTAAGTGAGTTAGAATACTCTTTTACTCTTAATAAATTTATTTACTGTCGTTAAAAAAAAAAAAAAAAAGTTGTCTCCAACCCAAATTCTTCCCCATTATTCATTGTTAATTTGGACTTATATAGATGTTGATATACCAATTCCATTGAGACCCATACATATCGTACATGGGTCCAAATGAGTAAGAATTGTAGATAGAGCAAAATAAAGAATAACTCTTTACCTGAGAATTTTACAATGATTTTTTTTAAAGGTATTTTCTATTTTGATATATTAACTTTATTATATTAGAATTTTAGTCTATGTATAAGAAAAAACAATCATTTTTCAGAAGTGAGCCATGATCGACCGTGATTGCTGCCAATTATTAATCGACATGGAATCTTTTTTCCAATCTTTATCAAGTTCTTTTTCAATCACTTCCCTATGATCTCTAATGAAAGGGGGATTTGATTCTAGGGCTTACTTCAAATTCTCCATCCCACGGTCAGATGAAGTGGGTTAACATATTTGGATTAGTATAAAAGCTTGTCTTAATTGTGGGGATTTTGGCTTCGACTTTGGGGTGTGGCCATACCCCAAAGGTACAACTTGTTGCACTTTTTGTTGGTCTTTAGCAAGGCACCCAAATTCCTCCCCCAAAACACCGAAGGGCCCATATTTTATTTCATCAATTTCAATTTCCATCTAAAAGTGTGAAAAAAAAAATATCAGAAATGCATGTAGCCTTTTAGGGACTTGTTCTTTTCACCGGGACCTATCTCAATCCATCATCTGTTGGGTCCATCCAACCTAACTGCTGCTCCCCCAAAGCCTTTTGCTTCCAATTTTTAATATGACAACTCTTTTCTAAAAATAAAATATCCACTAAACAATAAATATATTTTTATTATCATTAAATTATTTAAATAATTATTATAGTTATTATTAAATCCAAATTTGAAGGGAAAAATACCTATTCTAGATGTTGGGATGTGTTACCTTTTAAAGTCAAGCATAAAAACAAGGGGTGTAGCGTTTCATGACAGATGCCTTTTTACTTCACCCATTCAAACACTCAACAGCGTTGATTATGTTGAAAAGATGTTCAATGGAATATAAAATGGTTCATAAAAGGGAAGAAATTGTTCAATGGATTGAGAACTAACCACTTAATTTAGAATTTAGCATTTAGCACATGCCACACACACACACAGAGCATGATTTAGTGAACACTACACCAACATCAATCATTACATTCATTACCTGTTAAAAATTAATTAAGTCAATTTTATTAATTTTTTTGGGAAATAATTTTATTAAATTTTTTTATAAAAACGAATAAAAACGAAAAACAATAAAAGAATGCCCTTTTCTTTTCCTTCGGAAGCAAGAATTGTGGGCTCCCTTCCTAAAGGATTAAAAATGAGAATCAAACAAGAAAATGTTTTGATCGATACTAATGCTTGTCTAAAAAGGTATTATTTACGCGTCAAAAAGATGTCTCAACAAAAAAGGAAAACACTCATACGAAGATTTGATAAATATTATAATAATTAATTTTTTGGTTTATTTTTAATAAATTTAGTTTAATTTTTCAATTTTAAAATATAAAATTTACATAAATTTTAATAATTTATATAAATAATAATTAAAATTTTTTATCAAATCAAAATTATATAAAAAAATTTAATTAATGTTCATATAAATTATTAAAATTTCATCTAAAATTTATATTTTAAAAATTAAAAAATAAATAAAATTTATTAAAAACAAAAAAAATATCTCATATTTTTTATATTAACTTTTCATTATTTAAAAATCACATTAAATCTCAATTAATTTGAAGTTGAATCGTGTCAAATCTTATAAAGAGAATTTTTTTGATATTTATTTTTTTATTTTTAAGATTAAAATTCAAAAATTTATTTTAAAAAATCGAATTTTTTCTATTCAAATGAACATTTTTTTTTTTTTATTTTTTCGGTATTTAGTAACCACATTGGATTTTGATTAATTCAGAATCGAGTTGCATCGGATCCTATTTGGAGGGAAACTCTTCCTACGTTTATTTTTTCGTTTATAATACTTGAATTTAAGATTTTGTTTTAAAAAAATTGAATTCCTTCTATTCGACCAACACGTCGTTGGTATTAATGTATTATTGATATCTCATATTTTATAATTTTTAATTACTTTTAAGTATTTGTGAATGAGATAGCTTTTTGTTTTTTTGTATGTGAAATACATACAAGAGTCAAACTAAAATTTCGAATTCTTGTATTAAAACTGACTATTATAATTGGGAACATATAATCAACATTAAAAAAAAAAAAAAACACAAACCATAAAAATAGAATTTCCAAAATAATGAGGGTAGTTCCGGAATTACGCATGAGCATTTCATTGGAAGCTGCCTAAACCACGCAAACGGCAAACCGCACGCGGTTGTAGATTACCAATGCAAAAAGGAAAAGGGTAAGAAGCAAACCCCTGCCACGTGACTAGCAGCCGCACGTGCCACAAATCATGATAACGTGACGTCATCAAACTTCAAACCAAACCAAAGTCTACCCCCTGTAAAATTCCCTTTTTCCCCTCACGTGTAAAACCTTCCCCCCCGATTAACCACAGGTTGAAAAACCAAAGTTACCCCAGCATTGCTACTCTCAGCATAAATACCCCCAACCACCTTCTATATCCCCTCTAAACAAACAAACACAAAGAAACCGGAGAAAACACCGACCCCTTTATTCCTGTTTTCTCTTTCGCTCTGAGTACGGACTGAGAAAACCCTAATTTTCAGAGTTGCAGACCTCCCAAAGTCCTGTTCTGTTCTAAATGTGCATTAAAACCTTTCCCTCTGCCAACCTTTTAATGCTGCTCTGTTTCTTCGGTATCTGATTCCAATTCGTTCCTCCTGGTCTTCGTTTTCCTCTCAGCGGGCGAATCCGATTCGAACTTTTTTATCTGATCTCGTTCAAACTTCAAAAACGTTGATTTTTTCTCTCCTATAAGAGAGAAAGAGGTGGTAATTTTGGTTTCAGAACCATAAGATGTTCGAGTTTAATCGGAGATCGGAGGGTGAGTTGAGTTTGGAAACCAGGAATTCGAGTCAGAGTTCGATGAGTGGCGAGAGTTGTAGTAGCTTCACTCGGCTCTCTTTCGAGCTTCCGATGTCGCAGCCTTCGCTGGAGAATCTCGCTCTTAAGCCGCATCGCTCGTCCGATGTCGCGTACTCCGCTATCTACTCCGCTATCCGCTCCGCAACCTTCGGACGCAAGACAGGGCTGACTCTCCGAGATTTCAGGCTGCACCGCCGAATCGGTGCCGGAGATATCGGAACAGTCTACCTCTGTTCGCTCGTGAATGGTGATGAGAAATGCTGTTACGCGATGAAGGTGGTGGACAAGGAGGCTCTAGAATTGAAAAAGAAAGTGCAGCGGGCGGAAATGGAGAGGAAAATCTTGAAGATGCTGGATCATCCGTTTTTGCCTACTCTGTACGCAGAGTTTGAGGCTTCGCATTTCTCCTGTATCGTGATGGAGTACTGTTCCGGTGGCGATTTGCATTCTCTCAGGCACAGACAGCCTCACAAACGCTTCTCTTTGGGTTCAGCAAGGTACATTTTCATGGCGGAAATTAACATTTTCATAATTTTTAAATACGTAAAATTAACGCTACAGAGATATCATATTAAATTCTTTAAAAGCTGCAAAGTTTTAAAGTTTTTAAATCTGAGTACTTTGTTTTCTTATTTTGCAATGGTTTGAGTTGTTCTTATCTTCATTTTTTTTTCTCTGTATTGTCGTCTTCTTTGGATTGGTAGAAATTGTTTTCTGTTACCATGTGTTTACCTCACAATTAGGATTTTTTTTTTCCGTGGCTCTAGCCGCAAATTTTCCTTATTTGAAAATTTCCTATTATTAAAAAATTGAATCATTAAATAGATTATTGTCGCTTTCTTGATTAAAATTCCTTCCCATGCAAGAAACTGGGAGATTTTATTCTCAAATTTAAGTTGTGTTTGTTTCCTGAGAAATTTTGCCTCATTTCAAAACTAAACTAAAATTTCTTTTCGCTCTCCTCAGGTTTTACGCAGCTGAGGTTTTAGTAGCTCTGGAGTACCTTCACATGCTGGGAATCATTTACAGAGATTTAAAACCGGAGAATGTTTTAGTAAGATCGGACGGTCATATCATGCTCTCGGACTTCGACCTCTCTCTCTGTTCTGATGCCATCGCCGCCGTTGAATCCCCATCATCCTCTCCTGATGCGGCGTCTGTAGCGAAGCATGGGAGCACCCGCCCTCATCCTACACGGCTCTGGGGGCTACTCCACCGGGTCTTCCGGTCAAAGAAGATACAGACTGTGTCCTCCAACCGGTTATTTTTCGTGGCCGAGCCGACCACCGCCAGGTCATGCTCATTCGTAGGGACGCACGAGTACGTGTCACCTGAGGTGGCATCCGGTGGGTCCCACGGGAACGCGGTCGACTGGTGGTCTTTTGGGATCTTCCTCTATGAACTCATCTACGGCCGTACTCCTTTCGCCGCTCCATCCAAGGAAGCTACGCTGCGACACATTGTGAAAAAGCCACTGACTTTCCCTACTCAATCGCCTGATTCCATGCTCGAGCACCACGCGCGGGACCTGATTTCGGGTCTCTTGAACAAGGAGCCGAACAGTCGCCTCGGTTCCAAGCGGGGTGCTGCCGACGTCAAAACCCACCCGTTTTTCAAAGGCCTGAATTTCGCCCTAATACGGTCGCTGAGGCCACCGATGATTCCGGTCTTACGGAGGGCGAAGACGACGCCGGCGTGTCATCACAAAGAATCAACGGCGTTCGATTACTTTTGACAAGCTTTTGACAAGCTTTGGACAAGCTTTGGACAAGGGTCGGCGCCACGTGTTTACGAGTTATCGCCAGTTTTTATCACCGGCGGTGACAGATGTGAATATTCGAGCTGTGTCCTTTTTCTTAAAAAAATAATTTTGGAATAATTTATTATGAGTAAGGTTGACTTTAGAGGAAAGATATGCATACGTAAATGACGTAAATATTTCTCATGGAATGGAATTGAATGCTACAAAAATACAGTACTATTTTACTGGAAAAATATTGAGAAAACTAACATCTTAGTTTTGCTTACTCTTTTCTTTTCCTCTCTTTTTTTTTTTAAATAATATAATTTCCGCAAGACTGAAGTGGTTTACTAAATTATGCATTTCAAAATTTTCTGAATAGAGTAAGAATCGGGTAAAAGCAAATAAATAGAAAGTTATTTATTAAAAAAATAAAAAATTAATAATGCAGTACTTTTTTAAAAAAATGTTAAATATTTTAAGCAAGCACTTTTTAAACAAAAATGTCAAATAATTTGAAATGGAGGGAGTATGACTATTCTCAGTCTTTTTTCATGCACGAAAGATTAAAATGGTGGGTCATCTTGTTTATGAGTATGATTTTAATTAATACTGTAATTATTAATAACTAAAATGCTTTCCAAATTATATAGAGGGGTTTCCAAGTTGTACTATATAAATTTAAGGGGAGGGGGGATTTTTTTTTTTTTTTTTTTACGAGAAAGAGGCGTTTACACGACTTGAACCGTGAAATGAGCCACGGCATGGTTGCATATTGCCAGTGCAACTGAAAGCGGCAAAGGCTCCTCTGAAAAGAGAATTTGCTAATTCAATGTGGATTGATATACACTTTTTGCCATTCTCCAAGCTGTTAATTGTGTGATTAGGTTGGCAAGAGTTTCGACAACACATGGGGGATGTCCATGTGACCACCTGCCAACCAAGCAGCCTAACCAGCTCCCTTAAAAAGCATTGTCCCCATCTTGTCTAGACCCCTATCCCACATAGCTTTCCCCCACCAATTAGACCCAATGAAATTCTCCCACGTGGCAGTCTCTAATCCCACGTGGACAACACTCAAATTAATAATGAGAGAATAATAGTAATAATAACAGAAGGTGACGGGCCTGATGTCTCTGAAACAATAAAGGAATAAAGCAGATGTAAAAAGGATTAAGGAATGATAATGGAAGTGATGAATATAATGAAGATAGAGAGGAGTGCTCAAAAAGCAAGTCATTGAATGGTATAATGAGTAGAGTATTAGTATGTGTACATATTTGGAGATGGTCTCCTTTTCTTAAATGGGAAAGGATGATTCTAGTAGTGTTTTTTTTTAAAAAAAAAAAAAAACTTGATTTTAAATCATGGGTAAGACTTAAAGAGGGATTTGGGGATGACTTTGTCTGTGTTAGGCAGATCATATTTCAATGAAACCTAGGTAACGTAAATTGTTTTTGACTAACAATGAGAGAGAAATAACTTTTTATAGGTAAAGTTCAAATTTCTTTTGAAGATTCCAACTTGTAAATTTGAAGTGAACTTTGACGCATAAAAAGAATGATGAATTAGTGATTAAAAAAATATAAGTAGATGAAAGTATGAAACAAGAACGGAGATCTAGGAATAGTAAATTATAAAAGATGAAGTGGGTCAATAGAAGCTTCATATCAAGTTTCAACATGAAACAAAAAAAAGAAAGAAGCAAATCTTGGACCATTTAACTTAAGTATACATATTGATTTTCTTTCTCTATGAATGCTTAATAATGACGGACAATGGTAACAATACTCAACCCGTCGGCAATTATTTAAAGTTTAATCTATGTACGGTTGTTATAAAAATAATCTCATGCTAAATTTTTTTTTAAACGGTGTGGAAATTCTAATATCAGTTTTAGAGGTAAGATAATACACTTTATGAGAGGTATATAATCGTTAAATTATGAGATTTAGATACAGTTTTATATTGATTTTAAAGTTTAAATTTATATATAAAAAGAAGTAAATGTTATTTTATAAATTAAATTTAAAGATTACTGTTTAAAAAAAATTTAATGCATAAAAAATTTAGTTTAAGAGTACAGTTTTAAAATCATTTAAAAAAGTAATCTAAAAGTACATAAAAACTATAAATAAAACTAATTCAATAATACCAAAATTATAATTACCAAAAAATAGATTCTCATGCTCAACCATATGAATTTGTATTAATTACGTTGTGAGCTATATTTTTTTTAGTATTAATTTCTACTATTTAAAAAACATA